TTTGAAAGAGATGCATCTTAGCTCTGGAAATTGTTATTGAATATGTCAATGCTGTTGTAATGAAATGCCTCTTCTAATTATGTGGGTATTAAATAATTTAAAAAAAATAAAAAAAAATAAAAATAGTAAGCCTGGCCTGGTAGCACGTCTTTTTTGTTCTTTAATATTTTATTTATTATTTTTGTGTGTGTGTGCATGTATTGTCTGCATGTACGTAAGTGCACCCATGTCGTACAATGCCGGTGGAGGACAGAAAAGGCTGTCGGATCCCCTGGAACAGGAGTTACACACAGTTGTTATCTGCCATGTGGGTGCTAGGAACCGGACCGGGTCTTCTGCAAGAACAGCCAGTGTTCTTAAGTGCTGAACCATCTCTCCAGCTCCAGAAGCTCATGCCTCAATCCCAGCACTCTGGAGGCAGAGGCAGGCAGATCTTTGTGAGTTCAAGACCAGCCTGGTCTACATAGTGAGCTCCAGGCCAGCTGGAGCTACAGGGAGACCCTGTCTCAAAAAGACCTAAATAAATAAATATATATCACATTTCCAAATTGATCACTGTGGGTCTCCCATCAATCCCTCCTTTGGTACAGCACTGCAGGGGTCAGGGACTCAAGACATAAAGGCTGCGGTTTCTAATACATTTACCCACTTAATGTGTGTGCACACACGGCGGCGGAGGTCGGAGGACAGCTTCCAGGACTCAGTTCTCTTTTCCCCATGTGTGTTCTGGGGATCGAACTCGGGTCACCAGGGTTGGGGGTGAGCTCCTTTACCCATTGAATCTCTCCGGCTCTGAAGTGCATATGTTTAAGCAAAAGAGGACAAAGATTCGTGATAGGCACTATTCAAGAAGGAAGCGGACGACTTGGAATGATGAACCTATGGTTGGCTCACTAGAGCGCAGCAAGGAAGTGGGAGGAGCTGCCAGCGTCGGGACGGTAGGCGGGACTTCGTCTCCCGGCAACGGCCCCAGCGATTGGCCAGCCCGTCTGCAGCTCCGACCAACCGCCAGGCGCTTTGCCAAGCTCGGCGTAGCGACTGCGGCTGCGCGGGAGATTCGAATCGTCGGCGTTTTCAGCGGCTGTAGGTGTGCCTTCAGCTGCAGTCTCTCAGTATGAACAACCCCGAAAATACCTTCCAGTAAGTGTCCCTCAGGCCGAGTCGGGTGAGGCTAGGCCGTGAGCCGGGCTACGGGCGCTTCGAGTTCGGACCCCAATGGGTTTGGCCGGCTTCGGCCATTCTTCAGCCCAGTGGGCTACTCCGGGGCTCCGGCTGCAGCTTTCGGTTCACTAGGCCGCGGGCGGCGGGCGGTGGGGAAGCGCGGTGCAGCGGAGGGCGTGGGGGATCGGGCGGTCTGTGGGTTCCGCGGAGGTGTTTAGTCCTGGTCCAAACAGACCGTCGCAGTGGAGAGCGCCCGGGCTGCGTGATCCAGGGCTTTTCCCTCAGGACTCTGCGCTCCTGAGGAGAGAATTTGCTGTAGCTCGCTTACCCATAATCCCACTGCTGTTTTTAAAATTGAAGTTGCCCGGCGTGGTGGCGCACGCCTTTAATCCCAGCACTCGGGAGGCAGAGGCAGGCGGATCTCTGAGTTCAAGGCCAGCCTGGTCCACATAGTGAGTTCCAGGACAGCTGGGGCTACAGGGAGACCCTGTCTCAAAAAGACCAAAAAAACAAAACAAAACCAAAAAATTGAAGGTGAACTTTATGAAAAATGCTTATTGTTGACCTGCTCACGGTTTTTTTTTTTTTTTTTTTCTCGGCTTGTTTTGAGACAAAGTCTCCCCGTAGCTACAGCTGGCCTGGATCTCGCTATGTAGACTAGGATAGCCCCCATTTCATAGAGATCCACCTGCCTCTGCCTCCCGAGTGCTGACGTTAAAGCGTGCTCCACCACACCCGGCTATTGCTAACCGTTTTTAGTCTCCACACGACTGCCTTTTGGGCCTTGGCGACTGACCCAGCCTGTGATGAAAAGGCAGGCAAAACGGTTAAATCGTAACACCAGATAAAACTTTGGTTTTATCATCTTTGGGGAAATCAGAAGCCCGAGATTATTACTATAGTCACAAAATCTGCTTTAAGATCTTTTATTTCAAAGTATTCTCTTTTAGAAGCCCCTCACCATTTCCAAAGAGAAATTTGATATTTGTCTTCCTAAAGGCTCATTTATTTTCATGACTAGATGTTTCAGTATTAAGTTACAGTTTCAGTATTAAGTGCTTTTGAAGTCATCTTCCTAGGGAGTGGGGTACCTGTGAGACCTTAGGTGTTTACCTTGGGCAGATATTTGTATATTACACATATTTTGAAATAAAGGCTCTGACAGGATTAATTCTGTTAAGATACATGTGAAACATTCAGATTCAGAAGTTATTTTATTTAAAAATGGCTACTATTTGCTCTATTAAAAGACCTAGTTCACTGTGTGAATTGCTCCTGCTTACTCTCACCCCATCATATGTAACCATTTTCTAGTTGGATTTCTAAGTGTTTCTTTTGGAAATAAACTTACATTGTTCTGTGTGTTTGTGTGCATGTCAGTCTGTGTATGTACATTTCCTGACTTTATCTCAGAAAATGTCTCAGGAATTCATTTTGTCTGAAAATATCCTTGGTGATTTCTGTCAATATAGAGAACTTTTTTCTTTTTTTTTATTTGCTTTTTTAAAAAAAATGTGTACGATTGTATTGCCTGCATGCATGGAGTGCACTTGTGTCGTGCAAAGGCAGTCAGAAGAGGGTGTTGGATCCCCTGGACTTGAGTTATAGATAGTTGTTAGCCACCATGGGAGGGCTAGGAACAGAAACTGGGTCCTTTGCAAAAGCAGCCAGTACTTTTAACCACTGAGCCATTTCTCTGGCCCATAGAGAACTCTTTTTCATTCTGTTTTATAATTATGTAATATTTTATGTGCCATAATTTATTTAGACAGTCTTCTGTTGGCTCTTTTGTTGTTGATCGCCTTTTGCTATACAAATAGTGTTGCCTTAAAAATACTGTACAGAGGCATTTTGCAAATAGATGTTTTCTAAATTCCCCTGAGTGAATTTGCTGAATCAAGGGCGAATCTACTTGGGATTTTTGATAAACACAGTAGGCTCCTCTTACCTGATTTCACTTTCCCTAGTTTTATGGTTCTGTGTTTTGAACATTTTAAATGGAAAATTCTAGAAATAAACTAACCATGAATTTTAAGTTGTGTCTCATTCTGAGTAGCCTTATGAAATAATTCTGCTCCATCCAGTACATCTTCCTTTGCCCAGCTCACTCAAGCTGTGTGGCCACCCACTCAGTAGTCACTGAGTAGCCTAGGTTATCAGATCTGCTGTTATATTATCCTGTAGTGCTTATGTTCAAGTAAACCTTATTTTGCTAAATAATGACCCCCAATCACAAAAGTAGTCGTGCTGGCAATTCACATATGCCAAAAAGAATCCCTTTAAGTGAAAAGGTGAAATTTCTTGACTTAATAAAGGGGGAAAAATCATATAAAGAAAAACTCTATGCTGAAATTGCTAAAGTGTATACAAACTTTTATCAATGAAATTACGAAAAAGTCATTGCTAACTACAATTTCTCTGAATAATCAACTCATGCCAGAGATATATTTTGAGGTAAATATTCTGGTCTTCTACAAAAATACTGCTCTTAAACTATTTTTTATTTATTTTCTTACCATTTCTCAGTTTAAAAACCTGGCAGTGTTTCTCAATGTGGCTCATACTCAGAATGCATCAGTATGCCATCAGTTAATTCGCATCCTGCTTTCTCTGAAATTGTACACAGGCACTTTCTCACCCTGGTCCAACCTACTACCCCCTGGTACTTCCCCATAGCTTCCTAACTGGTTCCCAGCCACTTTTATTCCTAGCTCTTCCTGCTCTACAGACTTAGCTACATTGCTTTCTTGTTCCTGAAATTCTCTATCTTGATGGTTTCCCTAAGATAGCTTAATAGCTGTTGGGCAGTGATCATATGTCACCCCATTAGAGATAATTTTCGCTCTTACCCGTTAGTTTGGCTCTCTGCCCCCCCCCCTTTTTTTTCTTTTTAGTACTTGATGTAACTTGCCACTATTTTTATGTTTTGTTTGTTTATCCCTAGCCAGGAGAGTCTTTAGACCTTGTTTTGCTTTGTTGAATTTTAAAAGCTATGGTTGGGTATTTGGAAGCAAGGGAAGCAGAGTCCTCTGGGCATTTTGTGGGTCTCTCTGTCATTATGGGGTTTTCCTCAGGGACTATGTTGTATTTGAACTCAGAAGCAAATTATCTCTGGAAACTCCAAGTTGTAGAACTGGGGCTAAGCCAAACTAGAAGCTTTCTTTGGATCTTATTCTAAACTCTGTCTCATCCATGCTCTTGAGAAGCCGGGGAAGGATCTGAGTAGGGCTATGCTTCAATCCCACTGAGGAGCAGTGACACTGGGGACCAGAGAATAGAGGATAGACATGGAGGTGAACACTGCTTCTGATTTTTCTGATCACCTGAGTGAATGTTCCCCCCTTCAGTTTTTGTTTGTTTGTTGTGTTTTGTTGTTGATTTGAAACAGGGTCTAACTATGTCTGGTTGCCCTAGACCCGGCTATGTAGAGTGGGCTGGCTTCAAACTCACAAAGATCCACCTGCCTCTGCCTCTGCCTCTCCCACTGGAGTGCTGTGATTTAAGGAGTCCTCCACCACATCCCGCTTGTGAATGTTCATTTATATGACATTTGGATTGAGATTCCAGATACCCGTTTTCAGATATATAGGTGAGATAAATAGAATCTTTTGCTTCTAAGTATTATCCATAATATCTCAAGTATGCACTTTTCTATTCTAGAATGTTTGAAGCCCATATACAAAGCTACACAGGCAACGATCCACTTGGAGAATGGGAAAGGTTAGTGTTTATTTTTTGCCTTTAAACTAAGGAACCATATGCCACCCTTTGGAAAGCTAACATTTTTTGTATTTTTCTAGCTACATGAAGTGGGTAGAAGAGAATTTTCCAGACAAGAAAGAATACTTGGTGACATTATTAGAACAATTAATGAAGGAATTTTTAGATAAGCAGAGCTACCACAATGACCCAAGATTCATCAATTACTGCTTAAAATTTGTGAGTATGATTTCCTTTAGATGACTATATCTATAACCATATATTACTTCTATGTCCCATCCCCCCCTTAGTTGTTAAGACCATTTTAAACTGCCTTGTTTGTAATCATAAATTTTCACTTATATGGCAAGAGATAGATATTTTAGAGCCACATATGCCTTTGCCTCCATAATACATCCTTAAGCTTTCATGAAGACTGAACAGTGGCGCACTGGCTAGATTCTGGCCAGACCTAAACTGGCAGTTTGATTGTTCTTGTGTATAATAGTTATTAATAGTTGTGGAATGCAATGTGGTATGTTAATACATATAAACAATGTGTTCTGATCAGAGTAGTTGATGCATCACCTCAGATATTTGCCTTTTTTGTATGTTGGTAATCAAAATCCTCTCTCTGAGCTATTTTGAAATATAAAATTGTCAACTATAGTTATCCTACTATACTGTAGAGCATTATAAGTTATTGTTCCTATTCAACTGTCCTGTATACTCATTAACCATTCTTTTGCTACTTCACCTCATTGTTCTTATGTGTTTTTGCTCCGGGTTCCTATAGGCCGAGTACAACAGTGACCTTCATCAGTTTTTTGAGTTTCTATACAACCAGGGAATTGGTACCAAGTCATCTCCTCTGTACATATCCTGGGCAGGACATCTGGAAACCCGGGGGGAGCTGCAGCATGCCAGTGCTATTTTTCAGAGAGGAATTCAAAACCAGGCTGAACCTAAAAAACTACTGCAACAACAGTACAGGTAGTCTGGAAGTACAGCCTATCTTTTCCTTTGCCAATGTGTGTCTTTGTGTCTATTTGTTTTAACTACAAGTCATACCATATTCTGTGTCTGGCCATAGATATGGAGCTTTATCCTGCTCTTATGATATGAACTTTTAAAAAAATATTTTATTGTTTTTATTTTATGTGGATGAGTGTATTGCCTGTGTATGTGTAAGTGCACCCATATTGTCAGAAAGAGACAGAGGAGGTCAGAAGAGGGCATCTGATTCCATGGAACTGGAATGTGGGTGCTGGGAACCGCCATGTGGGTGCTGGGAACCAAACCCTGGGGTCTCTGCAAGAGTAGCCAGTGCTCTTAACCACTGAGCCATCTCTCTAACCCCGCAAATTGTTTTTTATAATAGAGCTTCTCAAGATAACCCATTAATCCATGAACAGAATTGTCCATTCATGAAGACAGAGCCTTCATGATCTAATCATGGTCACTTCTTAATGCCTCACAATGGGGATTGAATTTCAATATGAGTTTTGGTAGATATTAAAGCCATAGTAAATAGTACATAACATATTGAATACCTTATTTTTCTCCCTAATTTAAAAAAAAACTTTATTATTAAAAACACTTCATTTAGGAAAATTTGAAAACACGGCAAACTTTTCTCCCTCTGTATGACAGGATTGCAAGCAAGCTTTATGACATACTCCATGTGTCAAGGTCTTTTTTTTTTTCCCTAAAAGTAATATATTTTCTATTTTTATCTAGTTATTTTTGATAGCATCTAGAATTAAAATTATTGGACCAAAATGTGTTTAAAGAACTTTAAGGCTTGTGGAACACAGAACCAAATCACATACTCAAAGTGTCCTCAGAAGAATTGGAGACCTACTATGCATCATACCCCTTGCCAGCATTT